TGATGCGGTGACAGGGTCTCGTAGGAGCCAACGCCAATCTTGGCAGTAGTGACTTGTCAGAAGAGCGTTCAAGTGGCAACTTGACCTCAGCAATACACTCATCATTCTCATCACCCATAATGTATGATCATCTCAGCCTCCTACTTTTTGTCGGGGCCTCTTGCCACCGACCCGAACCGTGAGAGAACAAAAATCAGCGTGAGCAACGTTGCTCTTGGGCAGAGGGCCTTGAACATTCATTGATTCATGAGGAACGCACATGGGATGTTTACAAAGAGCCTTGCAAGCGCAACTCTGGCCGGTCGTCAACATGCGAAATGGGTAGTAGTGGTCTGAATCAGCCCAGAAAAGTTAAGGTCCTGCACAAGCTGATGGACCAATCACAGGCGGACACGGGAAATAACATGAAATAACATGTTCAAAATGATACCGGCTCTAGGAGGGCCAGGACGACCAAGGAGCACGAAAAAGCCGCAGGCCAAGGCGGGCCATGACGAATGGTGACAAGGAGGTGGTGGGAAGGTCAGGAGGTGGTGGCAAAGAAGCCGTTCACTAACTGGTTGACGTCAAGAACCCAACGGACGAAGGGTTCATGCGATTCCACACATGAGTCCGACAGTCCGACAGCGGGCTTCCGACCGTGGAGTCCCCAGGTCAACACCGAGCTGATTGGCTTCATGTCGCAATTGTAATGCCTTTCTCGGCGGATCGCAATTTGGTAGGCAGTCGGTGCATTTGCTCGTAACATGCAAGCTGGTATTGGTTTCTAGGTCTCATACTGGTCTCATTTAGTTTCGTAGAAACAAAAGGTCCCCACTCCACACTCTTCGTTGTTCAAGCGTTTCGGCTTCTGATTGGTTGAACCTTCCTTGCCAGGAACTTGATGGAAGGTGCAATGGCATATAAAGAACTGTAGTGACGTCAATGAGGCTGCCCAGTTGGCTGCATTTGACACTCCCTCAAAGGGATCTTTTGGCCCTACAGCCGTGCGAAACACCAAACTCCGGAGACTTTGCAAGCAGGCTTCCTCTTTCAGAGTTTAGTTTTCAGATGCAACATCAAAGACTTATTGGTAAGAATGAGTTCAATTACTTTCAAGACTCAAAGGCTGTCTGTGGGTCGCTCATTTTCCGTGCTGCGTTGATGTGTCAGGCCTGTAAACAGACCCTGCGTCCTGAAATGGAAACCCTTCGCATACCTAAGCCCGTACGCATTTTGTTGTCCAAAGAGAGTCAACCACCTCCGGCGCTGCTACGTCTTGAGAGCAACTCTCCAATCTGTTGAGCCGTTGAGCCCTGTTGAGCACATGGAGCCATTGCTGTTGCAAATTCTGTAAGCCTTCCTACGAGTCAGCCGCAAGTCTCCTCAAAGTTCACCTGCATGAAGCTCTCCCTTTACCTCTTTAGAAACAGTCAAGGATAGATTCAGAAACCATGATTCGGAAACCACACCCTGAATTACCAATAGTTCTCGCGCACACTTCAGGGCCTTTGAGCTTTTGTAGAATTCAGTGGATCAAACAACTCGAACAAAAATAGAAGTGCCAACATCAGTACCCCCCCACCTTTCCCCCCTCAAAATAAATATATAGTGGTTTCTGAGTTTGTTCTGTGGGTGTCGGCTTGTTGTTCAGGTTGTGTTGAAACGTTGTTTCTGACACGTAGTTTCGAGAGTATTTTGTGAATCGTAGTTTCGGAATCGTAGCTTCGCAGGATAGACAGTTGCTGAATCATCGTTTCTGAACGGTAGTTTCTGAATTAGAATTTCTGAATTGTGGTTTCTGAATCGTAGTTTCTGAATCGAAATTGGTGTGGCAGTGGTCGGCACAGGAATTCCACATTGAGTGAGTGTGCAAGAGTATTGATTGAATAGCGTTCTCACAAGGCCCTGAGATATGAGATGAGGTCGTCCACACACACACACATGACACATGTAAGTATACAGGAAGGTTCATGAGCGTTTATACTGTATACTGCAACCAGTTATATAATGCCCTTTCATGTCTTTTCCAGCTAGTCGTTTAAGGAGCAAGCCTCGATCATGCATGTTTAAGATGTGTAGGAATGCATGCATCTCTTGGCCAAGATGCATCGCAAGCAAATCATCGAAAACAATGACCGTATCAGATTGCCTGGGCACTCCATGATATTCATGCTTAAGACTTAACTCCTTTGTCTGCGACCGTCTGTTGTTTCTCTGCTACCAGTGGTGCAAAGAAAATATATTAATAGTCTTTAGTGACTGTGTACAAAGTCCAAAGCATTCAAATCTCCCACCAAACAATCACAGTTCTGATGCATTATCTGGTCTAGAACTATAGAGACTACATACACATTGAAACAAAAGTATACAAAAGATAAGTGACGCCTCATGACTTTCGCACTTCTCAACAAGGAAAGCCGCCCCGTTTCGGACTCGAGACTTCAACCTGCCTCCTGATCGAGATCATCAAGGGCAGCTTCAGGGTGCGCTCCACCCCAAAAATGAACCCCATCATCACCTCGGTGCCAATCACCGATAATGCAGCTGTGACCTATCGACACACAAGAAAATCGTTCTGGATGAGAAAGGTCTCAAATTTTGAACCATCGAATTCTGTAAGTTGCTCAGGCATGTCTTCCCGTTGCCTTCTCAAATTCACCAAGGAACGTTCTCGGTCTGAGTCACAGGGACATCCGCGAGGCTGGCCCCGCATTGCTGACAAGCCTGAATGGTTCCGGCGCAAACTTGCTACAGCGATATAAACAAGCTACAATATTCTACAACTCCATAGCATTCCATAGCGACGTTTAGCTTCATGGCATGCAAAACATCGGCAAATTTGCATGTGCCGACTCAATATTCCTTGTTGCATTGTGCACAAGTACCATCAAACTCATCAAACACCGCCATGTGCCATGTGCACATGGACAAACGTACAAACGCACACTTGCAACAAACATCAAATAACCTCGTTCTTCGTCCATGCCTTCTGGTTATTTCCGCAGGGACGGCCACACTTGGCGCAAACCTGCGCTTGAATGGGCAGGCTTTGCGACGCGAGCTTGTCGAAAAAAACACGTGGTAGATGTGGTGGTAGTAGTAGTAGTAGCAGCAGCAGTAGTAGTAGTGGTAGTAGTAGTAGTAGGAGTAGGAGTAGTAGTAGTAGTAGGAGTAGTAGTAGGAGTAGTAGTAGCAGTAGTAGTAGTAGGAGTCGGAGGAGCAGCAGCAGCAGCAATTGTTGTTGTGCCAGTAGTACTGTGCTTCTTGTCGTATGATGGCAAAAATGATCTAATATGATCTAATACGATACCAACTGAGGCCGTGGTCACCCGACTGCCACTAGTTATGTTTTGTCCGGCGGCAAAGGTTAGTCGGTTAGTCGCAAGGATCGGGAAGGCTTCGTGACAAAACGAGCGACCTATCTGATCCTATCTGTGTTCGTAAAAGATTTGTCAAATGTGTTCACGATTATGATCCAGTGCTTCCGGACACATTCGCTGAGATCCCTCAGGAATCAGCGTCCAGTGTTTCTCCGAGCCTTGACGTCGTTGTAGAGGTATCTGCTTAACCTTGTGGATCAAAAAGCATTCACAACTAGGTTGGAGGCCATTGCTACTAGGGTGGAGGCCGCAAACATCCACAAACCCAAAAACATTAGCATCATTAGCCAGTCCGGGCACGAGAGTGACATGTCTGGGGCCCCAGCTCTTCATTCCTCTGGGCCAAGCTGTCCAGCGTGCCGTTCACGGGCGGCGTCAGCTTTTCGGAGTTGCTGGCGATGGACGGAAAAGCACCCACGAACCTTGAAGGTTGAAAGTGGAGCACAAAGCACCAAAGAACAGATTATCAAGTGAGGTGAACTGAGCATCTGCATCGAATCTATATAGCGTGCATCTATCAAATTCATGCAAAGTCAAGCGTGTGTGTTGTATTCTGAACAACCGGCATCGTCAATGTGAGTTCTTTTGCCACCACCTCAGTCATTGTACATCTATATGCTTAGTACGACTTCATTCTTGCAGCAGTCATGTATATAGCCGTCGTGACCGGGCGCAGGTGTGTGTGTGTGTGCACTGTGGACTCGGAGGATGCCTTCGGACTTGTAAACAGCCCAGGGTCAAGGCGCGATATCACCAACCTTGACCAACGAAGCTGGGTGATGTCACGGGATGTGGGACTTGGCCAGTCCCACGTAACTGCTCAGGTTGTGAACTGTATCTTCCAGTGGATGTCGTCGCTATTCGTTGAGACTTTCGTTGAGTCTTTGGCCGGTCCACTTAGGCCTTTGGGTACTTAGGTTTCATCGGGGCATGTGGCATACTGACCTTACGCACAGCAATCTGAAGTGTGTGCCGACGCGCGGGTGTGTGTGTGTGGACAGAAGGGTAGCTTGGCTCCTGACCCTGCGAAGTAGCAGTTCTTTTCACCAGGAACCACTGTCCTCAATCAGTACGGTTGGGTGTCAGAACTGCAAGCATATTATGCAAATTGATGGTCAACTGTGTTTTAATATCTACAACACAAGAAGTCCAAAACAAAAGAAGCTGAATCAAGGCAATGTCAACAAGGAATTGCTCTTGGCAGCATATCGAAGCCATTGTTACCGCTTGTTCGAACAAGTTTAAGCAGACTAGTCATGAAACCGGCGAACACTTTTCAAGAGACAAGAGCAATGCAAAGCCATGGCGCTCGGTCGAAGGATTTGGTGGCGTGCGGTCGTCATCAATCATCTCAATGTCAGGTTTGGCATGTCTCACCACGCACGGGCAAGAAAACCCGAAGTTACCGAATAGTCCTTAGCAAATTCCAAGATGAGCAATGGAAGTATAATTAAACATCTATGATTCTAAATATCTGTTATAAATAATAGAAGATATCTACACATACACTATATAATTACGTTGTGATCCATGATGGTACATGCAAAAACTCTGACTGTATTGACATGCAGCAGTGCGACATGCAGTGACATGCAGGTCCCAACTTTTCGTTCACGGCGCAGGTCCACACGAGGTCGTTCACATCGGCTCTGTCGCTCTGGACTTCAGAACTGCTAAGACTTCCTCCACATGGCTGTCAAGTAGCCCAATGGATGTGTCGGTTTTCACAAATTGATGGCGAATCGTGGGATCCACGGCCATCAAATCCAAGCAGTCCACAACCACCCAGCCCTGCAACCAGGGGTGTTCCTCCAGCCATGCTCCAATCTCCAAGATCCTTTGCTCGGTCTGATTGGCTGCATGACCTCGGCCATCAGGTGTTGCTGCGACCGCCTGTGTGGCCCAAGAGACACCGCTGCGCACTAAAGCTGAGGCCAAACGCCCGCAATAGCGTTCGTCCAAACGCCAGGGACTTGTTAAAACAAGACAACAGCCCGTGAGCTTCATGATCTTAGCAAGTTTCGCCAATGCGTGTGGATCTGGGCGACCACACTTCGATGAATCAGAAGGTGACTCAAGTGAATTGACCACACCGTCTATATTCAGGAATAGTGCAGTGTTGCTTCTGGGCCAACTGGACGACTGTTTCTTGTCCTGCCGCTGTAAACGCCGCAGCATCTCGGGACGATCCGAGTCACGGATTTCATCGTGCTCTGGAGTGGGCTGGAAAGCCCGAGAAGGCTTCCAGCGCTCTGTGAGTTCGGACTCGAAATGGATTCGGTCTTGGAAAAAGAGGGGTTCTGGTGGCTGGTATGCTCGCAGCTGGAATCGTTGATAGACTTCTTGAAACATCTTGTCCCCATGGTTGTACATAGGCAGGGTATGCTGCACCAGCAGCTCTGCCACCCTACGAGTGACCAAATATGCGTGTCTTCCCAGGGCTTCCACCGAACGAAACACCGAGCCATCACTCTTCACCGGTTCACGTGCATCTCGGCTCTCTCGAACGAAACCCAAGTGGAGCAAATCAAAGTCCTCTGGCACAGAAGTGATAAATTGTTGTAAATCCTGCTGGAGTGACTCAGGCCCTGGCTCCAGGTCATCCTCAAATACCAAGGCAAAGCTCTTGGTATCCTGCATCAAGAACTTCTTCAGGATGTCCAAATGACCCAAGTGACATGCCACCTTGCCCTCGGGAAAGTATTCCACATCTTGCCAGAGCACATCCAGGTAGTCCCGTAGCACAACACCAGCAGTGATCAATTCTTGCATGTCTATCTCATTTTTTACTGGCCCATCCACCAGCTGTGCATCAGGAAACCCCCATTTTGCCATAAGCTCGGTGGCGTGTTGTTTTCTGGACGGGATGCAAAGTACATAGATTTGAGTGCTCGAAAGGATATCCTTTCTGGGACATGGCTCACCAGTCTGTGAAGCTATCGAGGACCATCGGGGCATTCCAGCAGCATGCACCAGTCAAAGCAAACAACTTGCCAGTTGTCGTTGACTGTCATGGTTTCAAGTTTCTCGAGGGTTGTCAAAACTGTTTCACCCCTCTTGGTCCAAAAAGTGCAGAAACAGAAAACAAGCAAACGAGGGTGGGTATGTTCAAAGCATGCGGCAAGCATGACATGTGAAGTACGTTGGCTTCCTTGGCGTCTTCTTTGTTTAGCAATATTGCTAGTTTGTAGTTTGTAGTTCTACAGCACGTGCTCAAACAAAATATGAAGGTTCCAGTTCTTGATGGTCTCTTCGAGCCAAAAAAATGCCCAAAGAGTCCAACCACTGCTTCTTTGTAAAACACGTGCCGTAAACTGAACATTGCACAGAATGCAGTAAGCAAATGCATCCAGTTGGACTCAATTAACAACATTCTCCTATGAGTATGAATCATAATTATGGCCGTATACAGCCCGGAAGTCACGACGTAAATTGCCCTTTAATTTATGATCGAACCCTGCACATCTGCTTCCAAGCATCTCAGTACCTGTCGCAGCCAGTGATTGAGATCAATCATGATCAATCCATATCAATCCATACTCTTTGCCGAGAATGAGAAGCATGAACATCATGAAACATCATGAAACAACATGGCGACCGCAACTGTTTCAAAATGCGTGAGTGTGTTTGATTATATTTAATCACCACCCAGGACACCCAGAATGTGTCCAGCAGGAGGTGAAACTACGTCGAGATCCCTAAAGCGGGAATTCAAAAAGGAAACAGCTGGTACAGAACTAAGGCGTCCCTCAAATCTTCTCGTGCTCAAACCACGTTGGATGCTGTTGAACCCCCAACGAAGGCTGCAAAGGTCGTTCGGAAACTATCTAATATGATGTAATTGAATCCAGGTATTATACTGATCCTTAGAGGTCAACATCTTGAATAGGAGTTTCTGTAAAATCCGCTTTTGGGGGCTGAGGGGCCTTCGGCTGAGATCAAGACCTCTTTTCAAACGAGTTAACCCCTAGCTTTACACAATTCCTTTTGGGGCCTCCCGCTGAGATCAAAGCGGACTCGAATACTTTGGCAGAGTAGGATCATTTAGATCCAGAGTTGCCCATTCAACCTTTGTTATGTTTTGACCGGTGAATAAAGCTGTTGCCAGCACTGTACAAGGTGATGCCTATGCTTTAAGAAAAATGGCATTGGTTCTCCTTGGCTTCTGGCATTTCATACATTTCCATCCTTCGGCCGAAACGACAACCCCTGAATGAAGCAGAGAAGCAGCCGTCTTGATGTTCCATGCTTCCATGCCTCGACGGTGGCTAAACTGCCAAAGGCTGTGAAGCAAATGTTACGGTCCAATTCATGAAGAGCAAATATCAAAATGTACAACCCAAACGACTTGACAAACAGTGACACTCAGAATCCCTGTCGTAGGCAAAAGGGATACAACAAAATGTGTACACATACTGTATGCCTGTGGGTGTGTAACACTACGTAAATCATAATATACTGTATTACATATATATATAGATAGATAGATGTATATATATATATATGTGTGTGTGTGAATGTGTGTGTGCACGTGCACGTGTTTGCGTATGTGATTTGGGTCGACTTGGATTTGGACATTCCACAGTGTCTAAGTCTAACAAACCCAAAAAAGAACCCGAGCACGGGCATCAAGTCAACACAGGCAAGCATGCCAATTGAAGCGTTGGCGACAGTCACGTGCCACACCCTTTGTCTTGTAAGACTGTCCCTCTGGGTGCCCAACCATCGGAACGCGAAGTGTCTCAAAAGAAGCCTGGTTCCCATGTCCATCTTGAGCCGATGGCAGCATCAACTTCTTCATCAACGCCATCCACCCATGCAACGGTCTGACCACATCGGCCAGCGTGGCATGGTGACTCGGTCGATGCAAGATTCACCAGTGGCGTTCTTGGTCATGGGCACACAAGGCACGCCAAATTCTCCCAGCAAAGAGTAGGACAAAACATGAAAAAAATAACACGTTGTTTCAACATCGTGCGAAGGCGTCTGAGCAGAAAACGACGACAGCGCTACATACTAGAAGAACGACTCAGTGACCACCCACCAATGGACCCCAAATGTCTATCCATAATCTACGATCGCGCACTTGGCTTATCTTGGCTTCACCTTCTAAACTCTAAACATCAGTCCATACCTTCCTATCTCCCCAGTAGAATTGCCCAGTGCCTCAAAGAAGCCTTGCAGGAGTGAAGTGGTCCTAGGTGGCGAAGTGCAGTGTTCCCATGGCGAAACTCGCATGGAACGAAGACTGGATGCAAGGATTTCGTTGACAAGGATTCCATCGGATTCCTTGCTTCGTTCACTTGCTTCGACCGTACGTGCTTGCTCATGCGGGATCCCACACGGCCAACGTTTGGATGTTTCACACACCTTTCCTCCTGCCGAAAACCGCAACATGGCCCCTCACATCATCCTAGGGTTCCGGCTGAGGGCAGCTGCGGCAATTCTCCTGCCACAGGGGATTTCCAAACTGGTGTGCCACTTGGTTCCGTGGCAACTGGAAGGACCTGCCAAGGACCATCAAAATAGCCATTCTGACCGACCTTCAAATCATTCAATTGGTCAGCCTGGAGGCCCATCGATCGTCTATGTCGCTGCCTCACACTCGTCCGAGTCGCCCAGCAAAACGACCTACAAAACATCTCCATGCAGCTGATGGGAACCATGCGTGCCCAAGGGTTTCTGATGACTCTTACTTATTTCTTCTTCAGTTGCAGAATGCGACAAAAACAATCAAAAACACACGACTTGCAAACACTACGATCGTTTGACTCAGCGTTGCTGTTTGTGGAATGCCATGTAGTGGTGCGTACTTGTGATGGGAAAAAATAAAATCGTTGCCTCTCGCCACTCCCCAGATGACACAAGGTCAGCATCATGGCACCTTGTGGGTCAAACAGGTAAACACATTTGATGAATTGAAACATCTTGAAACCATGCAAAACCTAATGCTCTAATATCTGCTCATTCAGGTGAATCACAAGCAACATCGACACAACTAAAAAAACATTAACCATTGAGAAACATGAGAAACATCCAGTCTGTGCTTCTGCCCATTTCTGCCCTAGGTGTGAACTCTCGCCAGCGCTCCTATTGGACTCATCCCGGTCATCCCATCACACCCTTGCTGAATCTCGCTGAGGTCAGAGGTCCCGGCGAATTTTCATTGCCTCGATGTGCTGAACCAACGCGGTTCCACCTCGAACGAGTATGATGGGCATCCATCCTTGAGTACTGAGTTACTGTTGAGTCAATTAATTAATGAATACGATATAATACTCTATATAAGCAGTCACAACCTTATCATGTTTGCGTTCAATCGCCACGTTTCATTGTGTTGGGCCATCTGGCCATCTCCCATCCCCAGCTCATGGCACTTCATCAGTCCTTACAGCACATGCTCAATATTTTACTATGTCTGTCAAGTCACGCAATCAAAGGGAACTCAGGAAGATCTAAGAAGTCCGCTGCGCGGTCGGCCAGACTTAGAGGCTGTTTGCTAAATCTCCAGGTCGACCGTTTCTACGTCTGGGCTGACAGCTCCGAGATGAGCAAAGATCTGCCTCAATTTGTTGAAGGCTTCTAGCTCACCTTTGATGACCTCAAGACAGGTGAGGCAGAAAGCACTGTCGGACTAGTTCTTCAAAATGCTCAATGTCAATTTATATCATATCAACTTATATCATATTATCCTCACCATTGTCCTCCGCTCCTGGAAGTTCTGTGGAAGATTGGCGACTTGGTGAGTTGATGCGACTCGGCAGCTGACGGCATAGTTCTGCTCCAGGGCCTTGACGAGCCTTGGCACATTGACAGTGGGGGTTGGGAAGAGCAATCATGAGCAATCATCCTTTTGCTTTGTGATGTTGCTACCTCAGGTGCTTTGTGGGATGTAGCATGTCACAGCATGTCGCATTGGATCAGCTGGAGGAGAAGTATGGAACAACCAAATTAAGTGGGGGACAGTGGAGTTGGGTGAAAGCTCAAGTCAAACAGGTCATTTCAGCATTGGAATTTCCAATAGGCATGAATCTTTTCAACATATTTCAGCGCATCTGTTTGGCCAAGACACTCAAATTGGTCCGCTTCATACCATGGCTGCGACCTCACCTTCGGAAAGAACTGGACATTGCCGGGGTGGACCACAGGCATCAATTGCCAAAACACAAGCTTGCAACGAGCTTTTTCAGAGATATTTGAGCCGCTGATCCAACACAAAGAGTGTCGGATAAATTTCCACGCGCCAAGATGGATGATTGAGCTGGGAGCAACAACTTGAGATGAATGGAGATGAGAGATTGCCGAAACGATTTCAACTCAAAGGGACAGCATATTCCGAGATCAAAAGACAAGTCAAAAATCACCGCGACAAAATGACATCAGTTTATCCATGGAATGGAACGAGATGAGGGCAAGAGACCTACAAATGCTGATGATACATAGTTTCCGATTACAGTAGATGGTGCAAACATGTGCCAACTAAAGAAGCCACGATGAAGTACGGATTTGAGACAATTGCGCGCTGGAAGTGCAAGGTGAGTCGAAGCAAAAAACACGTATATAAGTAATATATATATTATATATAAGATATATAAGAAGAACATGCCGTCGTTGTGGAGAAAAACATAATAATTAGCTCCTTCGTTGGAATACCTCGCGCAAAAATTTGCTTGACGACGCTCTAAAAGACCACCAACGGCTCCAATCTCTGCACTTGTTTGGGCCTTTGGCTGAGCTGCGAAGTGCAAGGGTCTCTGTAAAGAGTTCACCCAGTAGCCTGCACGATGAGGGTCGTTCTTCCATGTTCTTCCCACATACGCCACATACATCATGCTACATCCTTCAGATTAGTTCGAGCAGGTGTGAATCAGTGCTTAGTTCATCTCAGTTCTGGAAAACAAGTCTTGTAAATGTCCTGGGTCAACACGAGACTTTCAACCCAAATTGTGTAATGTTGAGCTTTGGGCAATCAAAAGTGATGCCGCTCCCATCAAATTCCAAGCAACAAAGTCAACTAAATCAAATTCAACTGTGAAGCCCCCTCGAAGTTGCCCAAGCCAAAAATCCCAAAGAGCCAGTAAGGGAATGGCAAGAATCTGTTAGAGATATTTTGAGATAGCATCAGGTTGGCGTTGACGCAAAAGGTTTCGCCGAGCAAACTCATTGCTTGAAAAGAGGTACAAACTCCTCTATCTTTCTCTTATCTTTCTGAAAAGCTCTTCTTTCATCTTCGCCCATTCAATCGTACTCTATCAAGAGGCCCTTAAGGCATTGACCTCCATGATCCACAAGCAACTGAGCGACCCGCCTCACAGGCACTCGGCAACAAATGGCATCATGCCGAGTTGATCAGATTTTGAAGTCTGAATCAGAATTCTCTATTGTACAAGACATGTTAAGACTTTTTCACTCGTGTCAATTGTTTGCAATTTCACCACATCACCGGTGCATACCAGCGCAATATGATCCAGCCGCCCATCGAATCCAACAGGTGTTTGCAAAAGAAACCCACCGCTGAACGCCTGCATCGATGTATGTCTTCCAGCTCCGCCGCTGCTTGCTGAAACTCCAAATGTGCCTGGGATGCCGCACTCTCCAAGACAAATGAGATAGGCTGTGCAAAATAGTGTGTGGTGTGGCAAAGCTCTCACATTCATGTCTTCACAAGCCTGTTTGAAGCCCTTGTTCATCGCAATTGCCTCTTCCAAGCAGTCGGCTGCCTGTCAAAACCAACGGTATGATGATGAAAAATGATGAAAACGGATGACAAAGGATAGAGAAGGCTGAGTTTAGGGCAAACATAAAGGACAAGATAGCGCCAGAGTGAAAGAGACTTCCGATGGAACCGATTCCTACGGGCAAGCCTGAGCCGCACATTTAAGTCTGCCCAAGGCAACACCTTTCAAGAATGGCAAAACCTCGGATGAATCTGCAACAGGCTGAAGAGTTTCGGATGGGGCAACTGACTGAGTGCCGCCTCAGAAATCCTATCACCGAGTTATAGGAAGCAAACAGGACCCCATCATAATCATAAAGGACTGCAATCTAGAAGAGAAAGAATGCCTGAAGGCCTAGTGAATGTCCTGCTGAGCTGCTTGGGTGAAAGCCTAGTGAATTCTTAGGATCTGCTAACAGCACCGAGCTTCGCCAAGAGAACAACTCCAAAAGACCTCCGTTCCAGGATCGACCTCTGAGAGCGTTGCAGGATCGACCTCAGCAGGCAACAAACACTACACAGAGTGCTGCGCTCGACGCCAAAACGCTCCGAAGCACATCAAACGGATGACAAACACGCCCCAAACTCAAACTGGATTGATTGAAATCATCTTAAATCTAAATGCACCCGCACTGTCTTAAAACATCATATAACATCTTGAAGCAAAACCTTAAAAAAAACAACATTAGAATCATATACAGCATTTCCTTCTCGAAATGAACCTCGACCAAAGAAGCACTACTGAAATGCCGTCTCCACGCTGAACACGTGCCCTCTTGTTAGGAAGCGTGGATTGCAAGATCTTGCCAGCGAGGCTTCTGGGAAGAAGCAATCGAAGCCAGCGACCTCCGTGGGGAACCAATCGCTGCGATGCCCGCTTTTTCAGGACTCAATCGCTGCGCTCATAGCGCCAAGGGCTCCAGGTTGTTCCAGCCTGTCTTCGAAAAGAACGACGCAGTTTCTGAAGCTTCGGCCATACCCGAAGAGCTCAAAATCCAAAGTGGTTTTACCAGGGCCAGGGTTTCTTGATGTTTCTTGTAAGGATTTCTGGAGGGCCTGTCTCACAGTCGAACGAGGTTTGCTGAGCATAGCTGGGCCATGATCTCAACAAAATGAATCTGACTCACTGCAAGCATTGATGTAACTCAGCTTCTCGCCTGACCCCAGGTGTATTCCCAGTGGTCCTCTGGCTGCACTGCAGCATCTGGTCTTCTCCACACTCTAGAGTCAAGGCACCCTTGGGCCCAATCATTTTTTGATATGTGTTGTCTATGTTTCTCTTGCAAGGGTCTCTGGATATATAGGGGCCTCTCCTCTGTGCCCACGGTGTTCTATTCTCAGGGCTAAAAGGATGATAAGTCGAGAAAAGGCATCAAAGGAAAGACCTGCAAATCATCTTCTCAATTTCATCAGCTCCAAGTTTTCTCAGTTACAATGTAAAAACAACCATGTGGCTAGATAAGGTATTGATTGAACAAGGTAGCGCCAAGGGCAAACAGCTTGCGCTCTTTCTGCATCCCAGCTCAGGCACTTGCACTGCGACGGTCTTAGGTCCGTGCGTAGGCAGACCCATGGGTGACATATGTGGCACCCACATACCAGAAAATTGATGCAAAGAAAATCACGGTCATCCGGAGCTCTATTGGGACGAACATAAAGTTCAAAAAGTTCACCTCAATTTGTTCGGTCGACGCAGGGGGCGAAAGGGCCCTGGGCTGGTGACAGGCTGATCTTGAAAGAAATCTACATACCTTGAGTCTCCAATGACCCTTTTAAATTTGCCTTTGCAAGAAAAAGAGGTTTTTGAAAGAAAGCACTTTTTTTTGCATATGTCACGACATGTTCCTTTTTTGTTTGTGCCCTGTCAGATCCTCCTTAGACAGTTTCCTGAGACCTTTTTTCGGCGTCCAAAACGCGTCTTTTTGCGTCCAAAAGGCGTCTTTAAGCGTCCGCACCGGACGCGTCCGGATGAAGATTCACTCTGTACCTTTTTTTGAGTCCTCATCTTTGAAAATGCGTTTTTCGAGCAAAAGCACAAAAATATCAGGCCCAAAACAAAAACGCAGAAAAAAAAGGCCTTTGGAGACTCAAGGTATATTGGTAACATCTAAGTAAGTCCAAGAGAAGATCGGTATACAGTAGATATATGGCCAGCATAACTGCAACCCTGACAAACAAACATACAGTGGATTGAGAGTAGATGGCACAATCACCAAAAGGTGGTTTATATAGATCCCCATGTAAAGACATCTTGGGGTTTGTACCATCTACTCTGAAACCACTATCGCAATATATATATATATTATATTATCCCTTTTTTCGTTCTGAGGGACGCCAGGCCAAACCATCAAGTAGACGGTCATCGTCGGGAGCACTTCGTTTCGCCAGCGTTCCGGCACACGGCGTAGGCTTCCGTTCTTGAAAGTTTCGTACATTGACAAATTCACAGGCAGCCACATGAAGGGCGTATGTATGAAGCAATCAGCCGCTAGTTTCTTCAAGACAGTCTTTGTACATGTACCAGCTCCAATCAAAGCAGTGAAAGCCACATTATAGACAAAGTATTGACCACATCCTGAAATCAGGGTTAGCCCCTTAACATTCAAAGGGTCTCGCATCACATCATGGCATGACATTCCTTGATCCATCCTGATCCTCACTGCACTGCACTGCACTCGAACAAAAATGGTAAGATTGGCCCCCTTCCAAACCCGTCCTTGCCAGCCGCCTCCAAACAAAGCTGATGAAATGAGCCGTGGCTTATCTACTTCATGGCCTTCTAGCACACTCTGTGAGAACCAATCACAGAGAGCGGCCTTCCCCGACAACATACAAAATGCCAAGCTGTACGGTCTGCGCTTGTTCAAGTCACGATACCATGCAAACATCCGTGAGGCATTCCATTGAGGTAAATTCAGATGCCAAAGCCGAGGAAAGAGGCGCTTAGAGCGACTCCGCCCTAAAAGAATCATGGCTTGGCCATGAAATGGCATCGCGCTACTGCATCCCACTCAGTGCAAAACCTCAAAAACCCTTGAGCCAGCATGGCAAATGGACACCCTCTCCTGGTGATCTTGCAGACCAATTCACGTCATGCTCTTCTAACTCTCCAGACTTGGACATGGGTCACTTAAGAGCTTAAGGTCAGCGCCCAGCCCAGCGCTTCACCGTGTGTTCCCCGTCCTGAGATCTCCAGTCACTCCAGCCATGGTTCCACCAACTTCCATATCCATATCCTTACAGGCCAAATCCAATTTGCCATCCTGAAAACAAAAACATAAAACATAGCACATCATCACTGCTATGACTATGATCTACAGTACTACATGTCACCGCCTCTGTTTCTCTTCTGAGGCTTTTGCCCTGCCACCACTCTGATGAAGTTGGCCACTTCACAGACCTCCCAAAACCAACGGGCATTTGGACGTGCGTTGCTGCCTGTCTCGAACTAGGCCAAGCGACATCTCGAGCTCGCCGTCGCCCGGGAGCTCGGCCACGACCTGGTCACATCGTTGTGGCCGATCTTATTATCATGAAAAGTCAGGTGTCCCAAAGGGCAAACATGCTGGACACGGGCCATGGAGTACACGAGTCATGTCATTGATGGATTGTGGGAATGTTCCCCCGATCTTGCTACTAGTAGCTTCCTAGTAGCGTTCTTGCTCCTGCAATGGTGAGACACCCGGAAAACGGATTTGGCAGGATTCCAAGGCTCCGGTGCAGCTGATTCGCATTCTCCCACCTCTTGGGCTTGTGCAGCTGGCACATCTGCGCAGAAAAGCAGCAACAGCCAGCAAGTCTGCCGTAGATATATATATATATATAATTATATATATATATATTTATTTATTTATGTAGCATCATCAAATGCAGCTCCCGCAAACCTTCATTTAGAGTGTATAGTATAGTAATTCAATGTATTTCATCCGTTACTTATTTCTTGACATGAGTTGACATTGCTTTTGTCCTGGTGGGCCAGCTAATCCTGTCATGGCGCTTGCAGAACCACCTGCACTTTTGTATTTGGCTCATCGTCCCAACCTGTACAGGCCAATGCTGCAGGTCGGCTGGGCGGTGGCGGTGACAAAATCTCCAGGGGCTCTTTGGCGCCTGCAGCAGTGCTGGGATGTTGTGGGCTGTTGGACTTCTTTTTGTCTGACATTGTTACGTTCCAGTGTCATTTTCAAGGTGCGATGAAGGCACTGATCTTCATAACCAAAAGCAGCAAGCACTGACACCAGTCGGTTCTCGTCATGGCATCCCATGAATTGGTTTCTCAGCAACGCTACTGAGGACGTCTGAGAAGTCTGTGTACATGACATGGAGGGTGTGTGGGGAAAGGGGGTGAGCAAAAACTTCTTGTACAACTTGTAGGAAGTTAGTAGATCAAAAATACCTGCCACATCCTTCCGCAAAGTTCTGCGAAGGTTTCTGGGTTTTCGTTATTGGCTACTGTTAGGAAATTTCCTACTGGCCAACCATTCTCAAAACGTCCACGAATAGCCCCGAATACTAAACACCACGAATGCCCCAGGCTTTCCACAAAGTTAGTAGAATAGGTTTTTGCAAAGCCCTTTCTGTGCACTACCCTCCTACGAAAAAGCAGCACACATCAAGTATGAAACATTTCATCGTGTTCCTGATCCTTCGACGTTGAATTCCACGAGAGAGAGAGAGAGAGACAAACGACGATCCTCACACCGCGCCTGGGGACTCCAAGAGATCCTTCCGAGGGGCGGTAGCTTCAAGCCACTGGTAGCGATGCCCTTTGCTCCTAGTACTTAGTAGCTTCTTGTTCCTAGTAGTACGGCCAGGAGCCCCTAGTAGCGTCCTTGCTCCTAGTAGCTTCTTGTTACTAGTAGCAAATCGAAAGTCATGTCAACATGATCGAAAGCTGTGCGAAATCAGCACCTCAAAGTTCTAGGTGACCCATATATTATGGCCTCAATTAGCCGGATGCCTCAGGCTTGGCCGAAGAAAGTTCACTCTCAATCTAGCAACTGCAAATTGTCGATGTTTCAGCTCTCCGCTTCTCTTTCTCTCTCTCTCTCTCTCTCTCGCTGTGTTAGAGTTAGAGTCATGTAGAGTCCTCTGTAGCCTCTCTCGCAAAAGCAGCGGCTTGTTGAGGGGATGGCTGTGCCACGGTCGAGGGTACGTATGCCTCCGCCCCACCAAATTTCATACACTCTGGCATCGGCGTTGTAAACCTTAGAGGACCAATCAGTCCCAATGTGGATGGCCACAGTGGCCATCGACGCATTCGGGGAAACGGGGGAAACAAGACTCGTTTAAATGCGAGTTTCTTTTTGTTGCATTTAGTGAGGGGGTGTTTGAGCAATGTATGGGTGGCCTTCACCTCACACCAACATCAGCGCACTATTCGGATCATGCTCCTGACGTTCACTCACCAAAAGTGAGGCGTCTGACAAAGGAAATTTAAGTTGCTGTATGCTTGATTCACTGGCCACTGGGCCAGCAGAACTCAAATCATGTGGT